AAAAATGAATGAAATTTGAATTTAAAAAAAGAGTTTTAAAGCTTGAAATCTCTATTTTCGAAAGGTCACTATTTTTTTTAGTTTCTGCGAGTTTACTAATTTTTACGCATAGAAAACTATAAATTGAACGAAACGAGAAATTTTTATCTCACTTTGTGGGCTTGTTACGTGCGAAGAAAAAATCTGCGAAAATTTTCAATTTTCTCATGTAAAACTTTGAAGTTTTCCGTACAAAATCATTTTTTATAAATGTTTCTACGATTTTCTGTTACTGAATTATCGTGGAATAAGTAAAAAGTGAGCACTTTGACTTTGATTGCTCATTACTCCGTTAAAAATCATCGTACCGCAATTTTAAAAAAAGATTTTTAAAGCTAAAACTTTGTTCTATCTGATGGTGTTAATCCACACAATTTTTTTCTGAGTGAAAATGAAAAAGGGAAAAATTGCTAATTTTTACGATATTTTAAATCGTTCGTATCATGTTTACGCGTTTCATAAAAAATTTTGGCAACAACACTATCAGATAGAGCAACGTTTTAGCTTTATGAATCTTTTTTTAAAATTGCGGTACGATGATTTTTAACGGAGTAGTGAGCAATCAAAGTCAAGGTGCTCACTTTTTATTTATTCCACGATAATTCGGCAACAGAAAATCGTAGAACCGTTTATAAAAAATGATTTTGAAGGGAAAGCTTCAAGCTTTTACATGAGAGAATCGAAAATTTTCGCAGATTTTTTCTTCGCACGTGACAAGCGTCACACAAAGTGAGATAAAAATTTCTCGTTTCGTTCAATTTATAGTTTTCTATGCGTAAAAATTACTAAACTCGCAGAAATTAAAAAAAATAGTGACCTTTCGAAAATAGAGATTTCAAGCTTTAAAACTCTTTTTTTAAATTCAAATTTCATTCATTTTTGACGAAGTTACAGCTGCCTAAACTTTGTCTAATTTTTACAAAAAATTAAGTGTTCCTCTAATTTTTGTAAGTAGTATATATATCATACGCATAGAATTTATAGCACAAATCTCAATTCTATCTCTATCATCTATATGATTAGATGCAATACATATCCGATATCGCAGCACCTACTTGCTAAAAATTTATCTATTCCAGCTATTTTTCGTACTTAGATAATTTTCTGCTATAACTGCAAGATCACTTTTTTGAGTGTAAGTCATCTATTTAAAAAGCTCGAAATAAGCCACGATATCATTAAATTGCGTTTTAATTATATTTTTTTATCATTTAAAACATCAAAATAATTTATTACGTATTTCAGAAAATAGAGTCATATGGATATCTGATGAATGGCGATACAAAGGATTTGCAATTCTACATATAAAATAATGGATAACAATTATCGCCGTTATCTCATTTGAGCGAGACCAGATACGTTCGAATCTGTTTCTTCGATCTCAATAAGAAAGTGCACGATCACGATTATTGTGACAAGGAACATCAGATCGGCTTTTCATCCATTAATATTAAAAAATTCTGCGAGCAGTATGGACAAGGTGAAAAAGAAGGTATCTTCGTTAGCAGGAACAGAAATTCCTAAAACGAAGACTGGGCGGAGGAAACCAATATGCGGGCGATGCAATATTCATAACGTGGAAGTTACGCTCGAAGGACATAAAAAGTATTGCCTATATAAAGACTGCTATTGTCAACGTTGTTATATTTTTCTGGAGGAACAGAGAATAGCGGCAGACAAGATAGCTTGGACACGAATGTATAAATTGAGTAAAAAAAAAAAAATTAGTCAGGTAGAGGTTAGTATTTTTCTTTTTTATCAAGGCATAAGGTTTGCAATACAATAGATAACTTGTTACCATTGCGGTTGTAAAAAATTGATCAAATATTTATTGATTCGATAAATTAAAAATATATAGGGATTTTTCCCCCTTCCCCAAGTCATGCTGTCAAATTGGATAGCAGAAAAATGCGTATTTTTTGTTCCCATACGTAATATTAAAATGGAATTTTTTGTTCTTATACATAATATGAAAATTAACATGAAAATTTTTTTTTGTTCTTAATATTAAGACATGTATTTTCATCAAGTTTTAATGCTATAATCATAACATTTATCGAGAAATACGGAATATTTAAATTACGCGAATTCTGAAGTTACGATATCTTTAGAATACTCCAATTTTCAAACGATTTAAAAGCTCAGCTTTACAGAGCTCAACGATCAATTATTTTAAAGCAAATTTGTCACACTTTACGCGTGCATAAACAAATTTTTAAATGACAAATTTTATGACATATATATTGAAATACCTTTTCAAATTTTTAATTCGTACTTCGGAAGGAGGAATTACAAAGTATAAAAAATGTAATGTTCCTCGATTTAATATCATTAAAATTAGACTAGTTAGAAAGTGTTATGTCTTTGGGAACGTTTCGAAATGAGAATAAAATTTAATATCTCGCGTATAGTTTCTCGCACGTTAGAGAGGCTTGTCAAAAATATATCGATCGGCAATGCATGAGTACTGTGAACTATTAATTAAGGAAGGACTAAGGAATTTTACTAATTTCTTTATTTTTGTTATACCCAATTTATGAGATCTAAATCTATATTTATGAATACATATTAAAAACTTTATTTCGTTACTTTGAAAAATTGCGCAAATAAACTTCGAGCTACACTAATTTATTTTTATATTGAAACCGAACCATTAATCTTTATCTGAGAATAAACAAACTTTTAATTTTGCTAATATGCTGCACATTGCAACTGTAATGTATTTTTCGTTTATATATGTATATACAGGGTGTTTCATTTAATGGTCGGTTATCTCGCGAATCGATGATTTTATTAAAAAATTTTTCCAACGAAAGTTGCATGGCTTGAAGGGGGACACATGATGGAAATATGGACTTGACCTTCAGTGACTTTGTCAAAATCAAGTCAAGATCATTAATGTTTTTTTAGATGGAAACCCCTATCTTTTATTACATATTCTTGTAGTTTATCTCAAGAGCTTTCCAAAACGCTTTAATAAAGTTACTTTTCGTTAAGTACTTGTTAAGTTATAAGGCAAGACCGATCACTGATCCGGCCGATTAACAGATGAGATACATGAATAACGCCGGCAATGCTGTAACTTTCAAGCTCCATCACTCGGAAAGTACTTAACGAAAAATAACTTTATTATAGTGTTTTTGAAAGCTCTCGATATAAGCTACAAGAATATGTAATAAAAAATAGGGGTTTCCATTTAAAAAAACATTAATGACCTTGACCTGATTTTGACAAGGTCACTCAAGGTCAAATTCACATTTCCATCATGTGTCCCTCTTTAAGCCATGCAACTTTCATTCGAAAAATTTTTCAATAAAATCATCGATTTGCGAGATAATTGACTATATCACTTAAAATGAAACACCCTTATATATACAGGATGTCCCATTTTAAATAATGTATTAAGATTTCTCGAAAACTATGGTAGATACGGAAAAATGTTTCAAACAAAAGTTGTATAGTTCGGAGGGAAACATAAGAAGGTATCATTGATTTGACCTTGGGTGACATCGTTAAGATCAGATTAAGGTCACGTCGATTTTTTAAAATGGAATCCTCTATTTTTCATTACACATTCTTGTAGCTTACCTCGAGAGCTTCCCAAAACACTATATTATATAATAATGCCGGTGGTATTATAACTTTCAAGCCTCATAATTCGAAAAATACTTAATGAAAATGAACTTAATATAATATAGTGTTTTGGGAAGCTCTCGAGGTAAGCTACAAGAATGTGTAATGAAAAATAGAGGATTTCATTTTAAAAAATCGACGTAACCTTGATCTGATCTTACGATGTTACCCAAGGTCAAATCAATGATAGCTTCTTATGTTTCCCTCTGAACTATACAACTTTTGTTTGAAACATTTTTCCGTATCTACCATAGTTTTCGAGAAATCTTAATGCATTATTTAAAATGGGACATCCTGTATATATAAGGGTGTTTCATTTTAAGTAATATAGTCGATTATCTCGCGAATCGATGATTTTATTGAAAAATTTGTCGACACATTTTAAAATGGGACACCCTGTATATATGTATATATATGTACACATATATATATATATGGAATATTATTATTTACTTATTATTATTCTTTTTCAGCGCGCGATGTCACCGATATCTTTACTTTATCCGACCAGAAAAAACGGTAAGTAATGTGTGTGTGTGTGTGTGTGTGTGTGTGTGTGTGTGTGTGTGTGTGTGTGTGTGTGTGTGTGTATGTGTATATACAAGGTGTCCCGAATTTAAATCTCTAAACTTAGGGAGCGTGTAGAGGATCGATAAACTAAGAAAAAAGTCCTATAGAAATATGTTCGTTTTTGTTTCGTTTTGGAGAAAATCGCAAAAAAGGAAGACAAACGTAATTTTCATTTTTGTACTTCCTCATTATTTATTCAAGTTGTATTTATTTACTTGCTTAATATAGATATTGTTCAAAGTGTTAACCTCTTGCAAGCATTGTATCTAGTACGGACAGCTTGTGTTGCAGCCAAACACTGATCTGGCGATATTTGGTGCACTGCAGTCTCGATTCAATTTCTCAATTGTTCTATTGAGTTGACTGACGACGAATAAACTTCCTGCTTTAGGACCTCCCACACAAAGAAGTCCAGTGGTGTCAAATCAGGTGATCGGGGCCAAGGTACTACTCCTCCACGTCCAATCCATCGTCGTGGGTAATGTCTGTTTAGCCAAGCTCGAGTAGTTCTGTCATAATGAGCTGGACATCCATCGAGTTGAAACCACATTTCAATTCGTTGCTGCAGGTGGATGTCTTCTAAATAATCAAAGAAATCAGTCTCCAAAAACTCAGTATATCTGACTGCATTTAATCTGTCGGGTAAAGAAATGGTCCCACTAGAGAGTCGTTCCAGATTCCGAGTCAGACATTAACAGCAAATTCATGCTAGAACCTACTTTCCCTAACAGTCTTGAGATTTTCATGAGCCCATACATGATAATTTCTTTGATTAATAATTCCTCCTCTTGTAAATATAGCTTCGTCCGTCCAGATTATTTTTGATGGAAATGAATTATCATTGTTAAATTGCTCAAGAAACCAATTGCTAAAATTCAACCTCTTGAAATAATCCTGATGTCATAAATACTGCACTTTTTGAATATGGTATGGATGGCGGTTATCATTTCTTAAAGTTCAGTAGATTTTTTGCCATGGCAATTGTTACGCTCTTCGGACGGTGGTCTCAGGACTATTATCAAAGTGGTGCAGGACACGATTTTTTACTTGATGCATATTTGCTCTTAACGGATCTTGAGGAATTGAAAATAAGCCGGTCTCTCGCAGCCTATTAAAAGTCATTGTAATGACTCGCCGATCCGGCATTCTTCTGTTTGGAAATCGGCGTACATACTCTCGCACTGTCTCCATAGCATTACCGTCGCAGAAACCATACACGAAAACCATATCAGCATATTCAACGTTAGAATATATACGCAGCATATGGTGACAGAAGTAATTCACTCGATAGCTTCTGACGAGTAACTGACGAATTTATAGGAGAAAGGCAGAATGTAAACAAACAAAAAAAGTTTTCACTTGGAAACGGAATTATTATTATCTTCGTACATGATTTCAGCGACGATAATACTTCAGACGCAGTAGGAACGAAATAACTACGTTTTATCTTTTTTGCGATTTTTTCTAAAACGAAGTAAAAACGAGTACATTTCTACAGAACTTTTTTTCTTAGTTTATCGATCCTCTATACGCTCTCGAAGTTTTGACATTTAAATTCGGAACACCCTGTATACATATATACATACACATAAATAAATTGCATATATTAAATTGCATTAATATTAATTGTAATAGATATCACTCATTTTCTTAGAAAAATTCAGAGATTGTTTCTTTTTTTTATGTCTCAATATTTATACATTATTTTTGAGATAATCTTTAAAATATTACTTAATAGTTAAACTACATAATTAATATAAATAATGAAAAAGTATGATAAAACTGCAGAAAAGAGGAGTAATCGTTGATGACTTTGACTTTGACATACGTTGATAAAGTCATGATTCTGAGTAACCTCCAACAAGTTTTAGCCGGCGCTCATCCTTCGTTAAAAAGTTATTAACAAAAAAGTTTAAGAAATAAAAAAATGTTATTTTACTATATACGTATTAAGGTCTACCCGATTGTCCTTCCGCCGGTTAAAATCTGTTGAAGGTTATGATCATGATCTTGACAATATATGTTAAGATTAAGGTCATCCGGCGGTTGCAACCCTTTTCTGTAGTATTACTAAAAATGTTAATATAATTAATACAATATAACGGAGGGAAAAGATTAGAAGTAATTAGATATAAATATCGTTAATTAAGTCATATTATAAGTTTAATATAGCCACTACTATACCGTATTAATATTGCAACTATATTATACAATTATGGATAACCCAACTTTCTTAATGGTAGCATATCTATCAGGAGGATATTCATTGGTGAATTTAACATAGCTATACAATCATACTCGTGCAGTTTATAATGTGCTTCATCTGACCATAAGCCTGTTCTTTTTGGCTGAACTTTTGCACCGGTTTATCTTTCTTCTTCTTTTTTGTTCCTGAAGAGAAAAGGAAGAAAGATGAACTGGTGCAAAAGTTAAAACAGCTAAAAAGAACAGACCTATTTAGAAATATCTATTTAGAAATAATCGTACAGTTGTATTTCACATATCGACTGATTAATGTACTTATATATAACACACACACACACACACAAAATTAGTAGAGCCCGTGCGGATTATCCGCTAACCGACGCACATTGGTCCGAAAAGACTGTTTGCTGCTCAAAATTCTGAATTATAAAGTATAACTGAAGCTGGAATTTATACTGTCTGTATAAAAGAATGTCTATATAATATATATTCATCAATAAAAGTCAAAATAATATTGCATTTTTAGCTGAAAGTATAATCCAAAGTCGGAAAACATGCGAACACTAATCCATCACATCGCCTCAACATATGGTGATTTCAAGAGAGAACTACGTCAAAATTATTAATAAAATAATCAACATGAGTATGTTGTTAGATTCCCCAATTTTTATTCTATATAAATAATGTAAATAACATTAAACTTGGTTGTATCATTTTGAAGCTCTATTTTTCTAAAATGCTGCTACAAACACATAATCTAACAAAAAAGAGGTTTTTAAAGGTCATCGGAGTCGACCGGTATTGTGTTTCTTGGTTTGTAAGTATTCCAAATTGATTCTATAATAAGATCCGATAATAAAATTTTGCAGTTTTTTACGGTTTTGGAATCTATAAGTATTTATGTTTCTGCAACAAAATATTTTAATTCTTTTCATTTAAAAGCGGAAAGAAGCTATATAATATATAATAGAGAACACATATTTCTAAAATACTCTTATTGTGGCCTTTTAGACCGCAATAAGGGGATCCTAAAGGTGTCTATATACCGCTGTATTACCGACTAAAACTATTTTAGAATTATCTGAAAAAGCAATGCAATTATTAATTTGACTGCTTACAAATTAGATAAATTTGACACTTAAACACTTAAGGGGATGCTGGAGTCGTCTGTTACCGATAAAACTGTTCCAAATTCGGTAGTAGTAACATCTTTCATTCATTTCTTATACTTATTATATATATATCGTTGTGTCTCGCTCAAACGCATTCATCTGTCCTTATCTAACATATTGCAACGCCATCTCTTAGAAGATCGACTTAGAACATCTACTACTAGACACAATTATTGCTTTGTTTACCATTCCGAGTCTTCGCTCAGCGTTCGTATACACTCATCATTTGCAGGTCGATATAAATCTTTCTTTTGAAACTTTTAATCTTAGTTTCATAAACTCAGTATTGTTTGTGCACGTAATGCGTTGAGTGTTGCATTCGTTTGGTTAATACGAGCTATAAAACTTTTGTATTAAGGAAACATCTACATCAGATGACAGCTCCACGAGTTGAAAAAATATAAGTTTTTAACTTTTTTACCGATTTTAGTATAAAGTCTATTGCAGCACTCCCAAATTTTGCGTCTACTTTAATCCTGTAAAAGGATTTTTTATTCCGTTCAGTAAATTCGTAGATTTATATCGATCTGCAAAATACCGACAATTTGGCCATTCCAGCATCCCCTTAATATTTTTATTATTTTTAATCTTTATTTAAAAATTTTTAATAACACATTATATATATTCAGATTCAGGTTCTCTACACTCTCGCAACAGTATTTGCCAAAAACCTTCTGACAACACTTTTATCATTAATTCGTCAAAATTAATCTCATTTTATTTCTTATTCACACATATTGTCAACAATAAAAAGATTTTTCAATCATTCTTTTAATGCGATCTTATAAAAATTTCTTTGAACTGTTGAATACCTAATATAATAGTATTATTATGCAGAAAATACTGTTATGTAGATAATAAAAATCATAAAATAAAAATTGAATAAAATTTCACTGTTATTACTATTTTCATGATTCTCACGAATACAAACACTTCATTTTTTTCTTTATAATTTATTGAAAAATGTATTTTAGATTATGTATATATCAATTTTCATATTGATACTACCATGGATTCAAAAGTTATTGAATTTTGAGCAGCAAACCGCCTTTTTAGACCAATGTGCGATTCGAGTTGATCGTAGCGCGTTCTTCATGATTCTCTCCACTGGCACTCGCCAAAACCATGGCGAGCGACGTCGCTACGGCGGTGGGGGATGAGGTGTAGTGGGGACAGCTAGCTACGGTTGACACGATCTCAGAACATTAATCTTGGCTCTAATAATTAGTATGAGTGAAATTATGGATAAACAGATAAATGATAGATAACCAAACGGATAAGCTGAAATATTTATCTATAAGTGTATCACGACAAATTAAATTAATTAAACATGCTTAGCTCGTATCTATATGTTGAGTTACAGTGAACTATTCTTATTCGCAGTGATGACATGGGTACTTTGCAGCAATGTAAGACTTTCACAATATGTGGTTATCTAAAGATTAAAGGTTATCAAGAAATTTATTCATGAATTTCTTGGTAACTTTTAATCTTTAGGTAACCATATTGTGAAAACCAGAGCTAAAACCACGTTGTTTCATATTGTTACGAATTCATCCGGTTCTTTAAATC